ATAAATAAATAAATAAATAAATAAAGCTAGCAGTTAGCTGGGTGTGGGGGCTCACGCTTATAATCCTAGCTATTCAGGAGGCAGAGATCAGGAGGATTGCAGTTCGAAGCCAGTCAAGGCAAATAGTTCATGAGACCCTATATTGAAAAAGTGCATCACAACAAAAGGGCTGGTGCAGTGGCTCAAGGTGTAGGCCCTGAGTTCAAACCCCAGTACTACAAGAAAAAAAGCGGTCAGGTGGATGTGGTGGTGCACACCTATAATCCCAGCACTTACATTACTGAAGCAGTTGGAAGGCCAGACTGGGCCACATAGCAAGACTCTGTCTCCAAAATAAAAAAAGGTCAAGTGGTAGTACCTGAGTTCTACCCAGTACTGCCAAAAAGTATGATATCACTGGGTGCTTGTTGCTCATGCCTGTAATCCTCACTACTCGGGAGGCTGAGATCAGGAGGATCACAGTTTGAGGCAAATAGTTCACAAGACCCCATGTCCAAAATAAGTACAGCAAAAGGGACTGGAAGCATGACTCAAGCAGTAGAGTGCCTGCTTTGCAAGTTCAGAGCCCTGAATTCCAACCCCAGTCCCAACCAAAAAATGGTAGCAGTCAGAAATCTGTTTCTCTACTTTATATATCTTTTAATAAAGGATACTTAATAGAATAATGATGTTGAAGCAACAGGGTCTCAGTGAAAATCATGTGGAAATACATTGTACCTGTGAGGCCTTCTTGCTGTCTCTGAAATTGAAAATGACCCACTTGGGTAGCACTTGTAATGAATGATGGTAGTTTTAACTTTTATCTGTGGAACTATAATTTGGGAGAATGAGATTTGGCCAGACCACTGATTTTTTTTTTTTTTCCTCCTCCTTTGTAGGAAGAGAGAAAATTTTCAAAGACTGTGCAAGGGAAGGTGCAGAGCAGTTACCTGCACTCACTTCTGGAAATGGGGGAGCTTCTGAAGAAAAGACTCGAGACCACAAAGAAACTAAAAATTTAAGGAAGTGTGACTCACAGGCACTGATGACTCTCCAGCAGAAAGTGACGACACCATCTTCCCAGGCAAAAGCAACATCTGGTGACCATCATTTTATTCCAGAACTTCCTCATAAAATGCATGAAGGACTTTGATTGTGAATTAATTTTTGAGGTATTAAATATATACAGCTGATTAAATTATTGTACATGAAGCAGAAGCAGGACCCTCACTGGGTTTGACCACGTTTTATGCATGTTCCTATGCATACGGCAGCAACACAAGAGCCCCACTCGTCTTTCCGCTGTCACCAGAAACGTCAGGGGGTGGGAGGGTTCTATAAAAGCAGCAGTAGATATTAAACATAAAGAAGCGTGGACCTTGGAGCAGCCGAATTGCCCTCTCTTCCCAGTAGCAGAAGTTGCGGTCTGTTCCATGAGCCAAAGGAGGCAGAAAGCAGAAGTGGAGGACGTGACTGGGAACGGAGCCCTTTTACAGCTGTGTGGCTCCCACAGAACCAAGGCAGGTCCACAGAGGGCCTCGAATGAGATTTGGAATAAGCACTTGCCACTGAAAGGCAGCACGCAAGAAGACCACAGGTGCTCCAAAGTTTTTGGCTTAATAGTTAGCCAAGAATCCCCACTGTATCTCTTGTGAGAACTAAGTTTCAGGGAGGCAAGCAAGGCTCCAATAATTTACAGCTGTTTCCAGGGGAGAGCGGTGCAGACCATTTAGTAAGGCTACTGAGGCCATCTTAGGAAAGACGGGAGTCTCCTGTAAAGACAGGTGCACGTAATTGATGCTGGCAAGTCTGATGGTGTTCCATTGGTTGTGAGTCATATACTGCAGTTGATTAGAAGTCATATATATATATATATATGCTTGGGAATTAAGATTTACTATTTTAGTGCTTTTAAATGGGGGATTCAGAAAGGAAGGAACTGTATATTACAGATTTCACTTGGGTTTTAAGCTTTAGGCTGGCAAACCCAATGTTATCCAATGGATTTGATGTTTAGTGTACTTTCTTTAAACTTGAGAATTACACCAGGATGGTATTTGCTTTTTTCATTCAGAGGTCCAGTTCCCAAGATTGTAGCTTTCAGAAGTTGGTCTGATAGAAAACATAAAAATTGCCCTTGACAACATGACACAATTTTCAGTTTCTTTGATAACCTTTTTTGGTGTTTGAATCCCTGCTTCTGTTTTTGATCTTTGTTAACCTAAATATAGTTAAGAGTTGGTAATTCTATAAGAGCAAAGAAATGAATTTGATGAAATTCAAGCATCTGATGGATGATTGGTCTTAAAAGATGTCAAAGGTCCTTACCTATGCACTACTCCAGTGAGATGTGATACTTTAAGAGCAAACAAAAGACAGCTGGGAAAATCTCTACGTAAAGAATTTGCATTTTGTCCCTCATCTTGACTTTCTTAGATTAACAGTTTGATATGGTAATTAATAACTGTTTAAACATCTACGTATATTTTTAGAAGTTACTATACTGCCTGTTAAATAAGACTTCTTGGAAAGCCTAGACCATCAAATAATTTTAAAATATTATTTTTGATATAAATTAGTAGCCATAGTGTTACATACACCATCCCAAAAGGAAGAACTGTCTTGAACAAGATGAACTGTAAATTCTGAATTTCCTTTAACAACATCCAGTTAGTTCATAAAACTGGCCTGTGTATGCAGGGGTGGGGGTTGTGTATTTGGCATGTGTTCCTGGAATGCTTCTATGAATATCCAGAAAAGTACTGTACATAGAAATCGAAATGCTCTTTGAAACAAGTCTGTCAGCTGACCATGATCAATCTAGCATATGATCAGTGGGCTGGCCTTGGTCCTCAGGGACAGTGCGTGACACGTGGTCTACTCTACCAGTCTTCTGCCCAGAGGTCTCTGGGACCTCTGCTGGTTTTACTGACACAGGTTACAGTGGAGTTATGCTTCCTTTGTTACTTGCTAATTTTCCTACTAAATGTAGCCTCTCAGATCCAGTTCTCAAAGTTTGAGATAATTGTAAAAATGAAATTATGCAGAAATGGCCAATATCTTTTATTAATCTGTTCTTTTGGAAACTGTCATGCACTATAAATTGTGTACAGTTAAAATATATATATATATATATATATATATTCTTACATGAGTAAAAAGCACCCTCTCCCAGCAATCGTATGTCATTGGAATTTGAAGAGAATTCCCAAATAACCTGTTGCTGCTGCTGCTGTTTTTGGTTTGTATGGGTTTTTTGTTTTGTTCTGTTTTCGTGTGGTAAATTGATATTTAAAAAAGAAAAAAGAAGAAAAAACACGACTACTGTTTACAGACTGAAAAATTATTGCTTTTTATACTACTGAGAACCTAAGTTAAGACTCCAAAGCAAGCATTTGGTTTAAATCATTTATCTGATGCAGATAAAAGGCAGAGAAATTTTTAGTGTTCTCCACATAATGGAAAATGTACAAATGCCTAGTTGTGTTGCCCATCAATTTTGTATATTTTCATAATTTTAATTGTTCAAAATTGCATTATATTTTGCAGTCACTATGTTCAATCTGAATTTGTCTTTCATTTTAACTTTTAATATAAAAAGAGGGTTTCAACATACCTACAGGCTTGTAAGTGAAACTCTTCCTACTCATTTGATGTGATTTATTAATATGGGAAGTCTGTATTCTTCCTTTAGAATTAAGTGAATCATAGCAAATCTACTTTAAACTGGATGGGTTAATTTATATAAACATTTTCATTTGAAGTTGGCATTTCTTCCTGGTTCATTTTGTTCAGTCTTAGAAGCTACAACCTTCTAAATGGTGTAACTCATCTCAATTTTGTGTTGAGTACTATTATCCCCAACAAAATGTTATTATCTTAGAATATTTGATTCCAAGGACACTTGTCTTTTTGGCTTAAAAGAAGTACCTCCTTTCATGTTCACATTTATTAACATGTATGTTCCAGATTCCTAAATTTTAGGTTTGGCTAATATCTTGGTTTGAGGCGATTGGTGGGGAAGAGGTTATAAAAGTAAGTGTCAGTACTTTGTGACTTAAGTCCTTTAATGAAGTAAATCAGGGTACATGAGTGTGTCTAGAGGGTCACTTCAGACTGGGTCAGGACCTCTTAGGTGGCAACACTGGACCTGCATGATGAAGAGTCAGCTAGGAAAAAGTGCAAAGTCCTAAGTGGGAAACTGCTGGGCATGCTCCCAGACCTGAGTGAAAGGAGTGGAAAGAAGTAGGGGTTGAGGTAGAAAGCAGACAAGAAGGGTCAGCTGTAGCCAGGGAATGGCTGGGATTGGATCCTAAATGCACTGGGAAGATACTGGAGGTTTCAGGCAGGCTGCTGATGCTGACATGATTCACTCAAGGATCCTTGAACTTAAAAATTGAGATTCAAACTTTACTTGGGCATGTGGATGACACAGTGGAAATAGGAGCTGGTTTTCCATTTCCTTTCTCGCCTCTGTCTTTTCATTTATGGATTATGTCCATCCTAAAGTTCTTTTCCTTAAATACAAGGCAGGTGCTTGCCTATACCTCACTGCTATCCTTAACTTTCCCTAAAAGGTGAGCTCAGTGTATTCTTCGTAACGTTTCCTGTATTTTTAGAAGCTGTTATTGTCTTGATACAGTGTGAATTTCATAGTAATTTGTGCAGGATCAATTACATGACTCAGATGCTTATACAAATTGTAAGGTTTCCTACTGCAGTTTATGCTTGAAGCGAAGAGCTTTTCTACAACTTTCAGCTCCATACGACTCAGGAAATGTGGGTCCCAGATAAATGAGCTAAAATCTACATTCCCCCAAACCATCTCATGTTCTTTTTTTTTTTCCTATTTGAGCCATGGTCTCCTTATAGATCCTCAGCTGGCCTCAAACTCACCCTCTTCCTGCCTGCTGAGCTCCCTAGTATTGGAATTACAAGCACGCACCATCATACCTGGCCTGTTTTTTTTTT